AATTTTGGGCCTTTTTTTTTTTTTTTTTTTTTTTTTTTTTTTTGGTAACTTCTAATGAGAATTTGCCAAGTGTTTGTTTAAAAATATGTCACTAAGTTTGTTCATGTAGCAAGACTGTTGTCAAAATGCGACCTCTGTAGTCATGCCCACTTTTTACCCATGTAATTTCATAAAATGATAAAACATTATTAAACAAAACCTGCCTCTCCCAATGCCTTCTGTTCTTCTCTATTGAAAGTTATTAGTTCGATCCTAAAATCACATAGAAGATGGTGAATTATGCGGAATTAAAATTATCAATTTAAAAGCAACGAAGTCACATTTTAATTGTTCTAAATGTTTAGTCGATCGAGTCAGTTTTATTCTATGTTGAAATGTCGCAATAGTAAATAAAGCAATAAATAATACAATGTTGAAGAAAAAAATCTTTTACAGGATTAAGAACTCTGGAACCAAGTCAGTGACTTCTACTATAGACAATAAACACTTACAATATGATCCAGTCTAAAAAACCAATTAGACTCGCTGATCTAATTCTTGCAATCTCCAAGGTCCGTTGGAACATGTTTTACTCACACCTGCTCTCGATATTCTGAAATTGTCTCTTTCATGTGGATCACCAAGAATGCCTTGTTCTTGTATTCTTCGTATGCTTTTGGTCCAACATTTCTTAATCTTCATCAACCTCTAAATCTATGTTAGGATGTGTGTATTTTGGATTATTTAACTTTGATGTTTTTTTCCCCAACTTGTGGTTAATTAATCCCAAGATATAGAATTGTTGTTGATTTCCAATAATGCTATGAAGTTAGAAAATAATGATCCACCACCATTTTCACGAAGTGGGGCTTATGTATTCATAGTAAAGAGGTATAAAGGCAGTATATAATAGATAGAACTTTTGAAAATCGCGCACTAGGTTTTCTCGCAAAGTACCATCGTTCGAGCACCAAGCTAGCACCAGGAGAGCGCACAGGTGTGTCATTCGAGCGACAAGCGCGGAAACGATTATTCTATTTTGGATTCTATTTTGGACGCTCAAGCATCAACTTAGCGACATGTTAGCATAATTTTAGCTACTCTTTCTCCATGTTTTATATTGGAACCCAAAGACTCCTAGACATCCCAAAGACTCATTGACTTTTACAACTATTTTATAATAATCCTTTTATATAGAGAATAACCGATACAAATTAAAACCTAACAAACTCTTCATTTGACATTCTGTTACAAAACTATACAATACAAGTCAAAGAAGTAAAAACAAGACTAATGTACCTGAACTCAGACTGAATGTTTGTCTCTTACATTCCTTTGTCCAACCTATTTCCTAAAATCAACAACTCAAATACCAAGTGTAAAAGTACGTGAAACATAAAATATAATAATTGAAACACACTATCATAAATATACTAGATAGATTGAGAAGTAATATTAATGCTAATTAGAACACATACTAAAACATTAATACACAAAAACATCAAAACTTAAACAGGCTATGTATTGTGATATAGAATGCCATGAAATGCTATTATCTCCCCTTTACTGCAAATTCTTTCATCTTCTCTCCCTCCCCCCCCCCCCCCCGCCACAACGTCTATACAAAGGATTACGTATGGGAAATATTGAAACCGTACTTTCCAGTAGTATCGCGGCTGTCTTTTTTGCTGCTTTTGTTGTTTCTTTTTAATTCAAGTATCATTATAAAAAAACAAACAACATTATATAATAACTCAAAGATCTAATTGTTAGCATGTACAAGTATAATCAATAATTAGTAATGGTTCTCATATGCTCAATTCAAGTTACAATGGAGTTAATTGTGTAAGTGACCCATGTGTGTAAAGTGTAACTAATCCTTTGTAAACATGACTTGATACCTTAATTTTGTGAGAAAAGACATGCTCAACATCGTCGTGAATAAGTTTATTCCTTTACTTATGAAAATCAAACCGATAATAGCATAATAAAGCCTATATAAGAAGCTCATTTTTTATGTATATTATTTTTTTCTCCATCTAGATTTGAGAATATATATATATATTAATTTTGAAACTCATCAGTTTTTTCTTATTCAAAATTTTTTCTCATCTTATGTGCAATTTCTTATCCATTAAGCAACTAAGATGATTACTATAAGGCTCTTTAGGTTGATTAACCTAAGTCAGATGACCATAGGTACCAGGTAATGAGAAACCACTCAAGCTTAATTGTTCAAGTCAAACATGTTACGAAATAAAGTATAAGAAATTGAATTTTTTTTCTTTTTAAGGGAATATATTTGAGTTTAGGTATACTAGAATAAAGTCAATTTATGTTCAAAGTCATCTTATTAACATTTGATTGATATCCCAAATCTCACACATGCAAACAAGCCCCACTCACAATATCATAGTGTGTGCAGTGAATATGTTACATGAAGAAACCTATAATAAGTACTCCATAAAACCTAAACAAATAATGAAAAATATACCACAACATATCAATTTAAATGATACTTGATCACAACACGTGTTAAGTAACTCATGTATCATGCTATAGTTAAAAATAAATAAATAAATTCTCTTTTTTTTTTCAATTGATAAAACATGAATGCACCAAACATACAAAATAAAAAAAATAAAAAAATATATATATATATATACCACCAGCATCATCAGTCAAAGCATCTCTCTGATCATAGAGATCGCTTTTCTTAACCCAGACTTATATAGTAGAAGGCTTATTTCAAGTTAATTGAGTCATCAACTTGGTCAATTGACTCACATGATTGGTGAGGAAGTCAATCCAGCCATCAAAACCCTAATTTCCATATCCAATGAAATTCTGATTTCTATTTTCTATTTCTATTCGGGAACTTATGAAACCTAGGCTTTATATGTCCTAATTCACCAACATAAAACAAGTGGGGATAAACTTAGGTCCAAAATTATGTGGTTCTTGATACCTATCCCTAGGTTGATAGGTCTTATGCTGTCTAGTGGGTCTCTATCCTACGATACCATTGTTCTCGAGTTCAAGATTAGGAACATACTTAGGCTGGTTGATGGCAAGGACAAAAATGTTTTTGAAAATACTTGCTCTATCATGATAGATCTCCTTATGTCCTAGACTTTCCATGTTCCTTGTTCAACTTTAAAAGACTATCCAGTTTCAGAGATCCATTTAAGAATGAATGAAGTTGAGTATCGGATTTCTCAAGGTCGCTTGTTAGGGTTTTAACCTTAGCCTCTAAGTTCTCCTTGACTAATCTTAATTCGCTAAGTTCTTCTTTTTCTACTTCAAGTGCATTAACCTTCTTAAGCACGGCTTTGTTCACTTTCGTAATCTTAAGACTTTCCTCAAATAATTAATGATAAGCTTTCCCCATCTTCAAAATTTTCCTCAGAGTGCTCACCACTATCTACTTCTTCAGCATTCTCATTGTTCTTGTTAGATTCACTCCTAATCCTAACTGTGAATGCCATAAACTTTCCACTCTCATCGTGAATGGACTTCTAACTTTGATTATCTAAGCTAAACTCATCATCGATGAGAGTTGCATTCATAACTTTACCCTAATTTCTCTTACTGTTAGGGCATTCACTTCTATAGCAACCAAATCCTTGACACTCATGACATCTCATGGATTGAGATCTCTTTCTAGACTAAATGGGAGCATCTCTGTCTCTCTTAAGGTTTTTTCTTATTTCTAAACATTTTTCTAAATTTCTTAACAAAATAGGATATCTCATCATCATTAATGATCTTTGTACCAGTAGAGTCATACTCTTGTTCCCTAATAGTGTTCAAGGTTACAGATTTGTTATTCTCAAGTTAAGATATGATGAGATCATAAGTTCGAAGAGATCCGACTAGTTTTTCAATCTTAATCATATCTTAATCCATGCTCTGATGAAAAACCGAGATTTTAGGCCTAAATCTTTCAAGTAAGGATCAAAGGGTTTTTCTGTCAATCTTAGACTCAAAAATTCTCTCGCATAGGTTGAACTAGAATTAATTATGTTATTCAAACTCGCATGAAAAGTCATCGAAGGTCTTATCATCATTCATCATAATCTCTTCAAACTTAGCGGTCAACATCTGTAATTTAGAGTTTTTAACAATCTGAGTTCTCTCATGTGTGGTCGGTAAAATATTCCAAACCTCTTTCGCAACCTCACACATAGACACACGCCTAAATTTTTCTGTAATACTACCATAAATAAAGCTTGTATTCGACCAATTAGCTATAGGAATGGGGGTAACAATACCATTAATGGTAGTAGAAGGGACAGTTCAACCAAATACACTCATCTATCGATTCCAGGAAGACTCTCATTCTAACTTCTAATAGACGTAGTTACTACCATCAAAATATAGTTGGATAGACAATAAATTATGCATCTAAAAAACTAGGGTTAAGAATTGAATTTGGGCTGTGATACCAATTGAAAGTTACTAGTTCAACTCTAAAATTGCTTAGAGGGGGTGAATAACGTGGAATTAAAAATTACCAATTTAAAAGCAACAAGTCACCTTTTAATTGATCTAAATGTTTAGTTAATAAAGTCAAATTTTATCATATGTTTAAATGTTGCCACGGTAAATAAAACAATAAATAATGCAAGATTTATTGAAGGAAAAAATCCTTCACAAGATTAAAATCTCTAGGACCAAGTCAGTAACTTCTACTGTGGATAATAAACACTTACAGTATGGTCCAACCTAGAAAATTAACTAGACTCGCTAATCTAATTCCTACAATCTTCAAGACCCGCTAGAACGTATTCCACTCACACATTCTCCCAATCTTTTGGAATTGTATAACTCATGTGGATCACCAAGAACACCTTGTTTTTATGTTCTTCCTATGCTCCTGGTCCAATTTTCCTCAATCTTTAGCAACCTCTAAAATCTTTTTGAGAAAATGCATTCCTAATTATACTTAGGAAATGAGCATTTTGAATTATGTGACTTTGATAATCGATTGATCTCAAGATATAGAATTATTATTTGATCTCCAAAGAATGTTATGGAGTTAGAAAATAATGATTAACCACCGTTTTCATGAAGCAGGGTTTGTGTATTTATAGTAGAGTATTGGAGTAGCATAGGATAGATAGAATACTTGAAAATCACGAACTAGTATTTCTCGAAAAATTCTGTCGCTCAAGCACCAAGCGAGCGACAGTCGAACGATAATAATTCTGTTTTGGACACTCGAACATCAGCTTAGCGACATGCTAGCACAATTTCCACAACTCTTTCTCCAAACTTCATATTCGAATCTAAAGACTCCTAATTCATCTATACAACATCTCGAAAGACTCGTTGACTTTTACAAATCTTTTATAATAATCATTTTGTCTAAAAAATAGCAAATACAAATTAAAACCTAACATATATAATTATAATGGGAGTCATCTCTTGTTTTTTTATTTTGCATGCAAATTGTCTCAATAAATAAAATAAAATAAATAAAAGTCGCTAAAAAGTCAAAATTTCTTCAACATTCTACGTAGAAGAATTGAGTCCCTGTTAATTTCCTGGGAATAAAAGCAAACACTTGGTGTGAAAGGTTGACTGTCAAGTGCCACAAATTCCCTTGAGCTTATCCGCCGCAGTTTCATCCACCGAATACTGGAAATTATCACAAAATCTCACAATAAGACACAAACAAAATGCAATCGCACGAAGAATATAATACTTTACAACATATTTAACACTTTCATTTACATCATTGACCTTATTGAGGACCCAGAGGGAGTGAGTATAAGTTCGATTGAGGAGTTCTTGAAGAGAATTCACGTCATTCGGATCAACCTCTCTGTAATTAACGAAGTTTTCACGGACGTATTTGGCATAGTAAGGCCTTGTGTCCTTCGGCAGCTGCCTTACCAGCCTCAGCACTTCCCCGTAGGCTCTTAGTGCCTTGTGCATTTCAGTATAAATTCAAATTCAAATTTCAGCTGAATTAAGGGCGAATTCGCTTTGTATTTTGAAATTTTGAGTTGTTCGATTGCTTTTTTCAGCAAAGAAGACAAATGGCGGAGTTTTTGGGGAAAAAGAAGGTGAAGAAAAATATTATATGGTCTCGTACTAGGCCCATTGGGCTGAATTAAGTTTACAAGAAGTCCAAAGGCCCAACTATTTCCTTATGGATTGGATCATGGCTCATTAGGCTATACAAATTTGTAATCAACAAATCATTTGATCCTTATCTTTTTTTGGGGCCTTCATAGCCTTGGGGTTCTAAGCAGCAGCAACCTATGTTGCCTAAGCCCAGGGTCGACCCCGATGCTAGATAGCATTATTTTAAAATTTACATGCACATGAGTAACGAGTTTGAAAAAGTATAGATTATTGGTTCAACTCAATAAATTGATGCATTTGCTAGAGAAATTAACATGAAATAATGTTATTTAAGAGACACTAAATGATAAAGGAAGAAAAAGTTTTTGGTTTATGTGTAACATTATTTTGTTGGAGAAAGTGTGTTAAAATATATATATATATTATAAATTTAATAGGGCTCAAACGGGGGCTATGTTGATATCAAATTGCTGACACCGTACTATCAAACAAGCCAACAAGCCAAAAATATTGTTCAAAACTGCATGCCAGAAAATGAAATCATGTTTGGTTCAAGATGGTTGGCGACCATGAGAGCGATGTCATGTATCATTATAGAGGATGATTAGTAAATGTAGCAGTAGAGTCATTGTTAAATCATCCAATAAATATAATCCAATATTATTGTATAATAAAACAATTATCCCATTGTTCTCTCAAGTGGTGATAATTAGATTATTCCCATTGGTAATATGTTTGTTAACTAATTTATGTTCCAATGGACGATTGTCATGCAACCCAACCCGCACGTGAGATGTATGAGGTTCAATAAAAGTTGTGAAATTTTCTAGACCATGCGTCCAATTTGGACATGCGTTATTTCTTTGAACAATGCTATCTAACACAAATGGTATTAAAGCATCAATTTACATTGTCACACTTAATATGTCCAATTAAATGAATCTATAATTTAATATCAATGGGGCTGATTAGCATTACTCTATTTCTTTAGGCCCATTTGGCGCAAAAAACATATTCGGACAAAAAGAGGTAAAATCTAATCACAGCTTTACAAAATTAAAAAAAAATGTGGTAAAAAAAAAAAGAAAGATGCATCTTGTCATTCTTAAGTACAAGAAGACACGATATAACATATCTAGAGAAACTCTAAGCCTGACAATTGGAGTTCAAAAATCAAATGTGGGAAAAAAAGAATGAGTAAAATTGATTTTTGAATAAGATGTACAAAAAAAAAAAAAAAAATGAGATAAGAGTTGTATAAAAAATCTTGCAAAAGAAATAAGAGTTGAATAAAAAATCTTGCAAAAGAACATTACTTAACTGTCACCTAGGTCGATCATCCTTCTAGAGAACGTTACTCTAACTGTATTGTGTACCACATAATTGTGCAATAATGTGCATAAAACGATTAAGAAATGAAAGCATAGTTAAAATTAGATTGTTTAAAGAGAAATGACTTATGAGAAGAGTGCTTATTAAAAGGATTAGATGATGGTCAAAGCAGTGGCCGAGCAGATATTTAGAGTTAGTGGGGGCACAATAAAATTTATAAAAAAGTTTCTTAATATATTCGATATCTTATTACAATTATTCTCTACGCGTTCTAACATTTCATAATTATATTATTTTCAATACTTTAAACACAGACTTACGTTAAAGTGCTTTTTTATACCTGATACAAACAACCAATTAAAACAATTAATTCAAGTGAAAAAATAATCCGTCTATCAATAAAACATGAAAACAATCAATTCAATTTTTGTTTGGTAATCTCTTTTTTCTTCATGATTTTGGAGTCTATTCCAGAAGGGGAAAAAAAAAATTTAAAGCTGGTGGGTCACTTGACCCACGGTCAAAGAAATACATAGCATAAATCTCTACAAAAAAAATGTGGCATCAACTATTTACTATATTGAAATCAAGTTGTTGTATCATCTAAAATAAGCTTGAGTAAAACTAGGATCTCGACTTGCAACCAGCAAACTTGTAATGGATCTTGATTAGTCAAGCAATTCTTATTTAACCCGATCACTATACAACTCGAGGCGCACAAAATCTATTAATGATAGATTAATCAACTCCAATATATATGATACTTGAGTAGGAGAAACATGTGTATATACATAAAGAAGATATTCTCTCTCCAATCTACCAATCACACAATCATGAAAGTGTAAGAGATGTCGGTGCATTATATATTTTGACATTAAAACTCATATTTCATCACAAGAGCATCAAAGAATAATTTAACTTTGGAGTTTGGAGACACATATTATACGCACTGAAATGCACACCGTCTCCATCTCAAACATTGAACACTTTGTTTGAAATCATTTCTTGGCTTTGTTATTGAATCTTTACATTCTTGCTAACCCTCGAGATTAATGGATCAAATATATCTTAGCTCTGGAGAAAATTCTCTCGATAGACCTTTCAAAATTCTTCTACAAAGATCTTGGTATTAACAATTTTATTGAACAACATTAATTTTTACAAGCAAAAGTGGAGAAATTGACATTATAAGAATAGGAAATCAGCGTTGTTTGTTAAGGAAAAAAACAAAATAATATTTGAGAATACGGGTTGCTGGGCTGGTGCCCAACCTTTCCATGTTCAATTGTTCATGGAAAAATCAAGATTCATCCATCAATCCCGATTCCCACAGTAGCTGAGCACATCACATGCAAAAATTGTGTTCAAATCAAAATACTAGCATATAAAGTTATGGGTTAATTTCACAAACAGTCACTGAACTTACGCGAAAATTACAAAACGATCATTGAAGTTTAAAATTTTCAGTAACAGTCACTTAAGTTTCGGGGCACTTTCAGAAACGTTTAGTGAAGTTTAAAAATACTTTTTCAGTTTTTTGAGCTACTTTTGCGACAATTTTTTGGCCATTTCTGACCATCGATACTGTTGAATTTTATACCGTCGGAAAGTCCATAATGTCCTCTTCAATTACCACCTAAAACCTCCTCGTAACTCCAAGGGATTCGACTAGAAAATCACCACAAATGTCACCCAAAAAATCTAAAAATCTGCCCAGATTTTGGCCAACTTTTACGATAATTTTTCGGCGACTTCCGACCACCAAGACTGTTGGGTTTTGATATCGTTGGAAAACCCACATGTCCTCTTCAATTATCTAAAATCTCCCCCAAACTCTAAAGGATTCGATTGGAATAAACTCACAAAGTCGGCTACCCAAAAAGGCAAAAAGCTAGACTAATTTTTCAGATTTTTTGGGCTACTTTTGAGGCGACTTTTTGGAAACTTTCGACCACCAATACCGTCGGATATCGATACCGTTGAAAATCTCACCATATCCTTTTTAATTTTCACCAAAAATCTCCCCAAAATTACAAAGGATTCGGCTGGAATAAATCCACAAATTTAGCTACCCGAAAAGGTGAAAATCTAGGCGGATTTTTAAGTTTTTTAGGCAACTTTTACGGCAACTTCCGACCATCAAGCCTCCGGATTTTGATATCGTTGGAAAGCCATAATCTCCTCTTCAATTACCACCCAAAATCCCCTATAATTCCAAAGAATTTGGCTGGAATAAACCCACAAAGTCAGCATCTCGAATTTGGGCATATTTTTGACTTTTTGGGTAGTTTATTTTGACTGAATCCTTTGGAGTTTGAGGTAGATTTTGGATGGTAACTGAAGATGACATTATGTGCTTTCCAATGGTATCAAAATCCAGCGGTCTTAGTGGTCGAAAGTCATCGAAAAGTCGCCCAAATTTTCAGATTTTTTTGGACAACTTTTGCGGTGATTTTTTGGTCGAACCCTTGGAGTTACGAGGAGATTTTGGGTCCTAATTGAAGAGGATATTGTGGACTTTCCAACAATAACAAAACTCTGTGGTATCGGTGGTCGGAAGTGACTGAAAAATTGTCGTAAAAATAGCCCAAAAATTTGAAAAAGTGTTTTTAAACTTAAGTGATTGTTACTGAAAGTTTTAAACTTCAGTGACCATTTTGTAATTCTCACGTAAGTTTAGTGACCATTTTGTAATTTTCGCGTAAGTTCAATAACCGTTTGTGAAATTAACCAATAAAGTTATGTTTTCTTTACATCCGTATGTTTTGATTTACATTTGAGTCCAGGTCCTTAGATCACGTCCTTTGTATATCTTCTCATTTTGCTAGTCTGGGTATGCTCAAAGTTTTTGTAGATGTCTCTTGATCTTTGTTTGCCTGAAAATGCTTGTGTACTTGGATGTGAAGTTGATCAATATAATTTTACATTTGCAAAACAAAAAAGGGCAAAAAATAAAAGTGCAACGGAAAGAACGGGGTACTTTTTAAATTGGCTGAGTCAAAGCGTTGGTTTTGCACTTTAACATTATTTATTATTTATTATTTTTTTATTTTTTGCATTCACCACATTGACCTCTTGAGTTGAAAAAAAAAACAATTTTGCCCTTATTATATTCCATAATTACAAAAACATGTTAATTTTTTAAAGGACAATAATATCCTTAAAAGTTTAAATAAATTCAATCACTTCCCCACATAAATTTTAAAATCAATTTTGCTTATTAGTTTCTCCAATACAGTTAAAAAGAAATTTTCTCTTTCATCTGCTTGAATATTGAAATCTCACAAAATTATTAAAAGCTCAACAAAAAAATATTACTTACAGCCGGTACTCGAAATTGGTAAGTGTAAATACGCATTTTTAATTTCGTTTTAGTTAAATTAGTATATTGTTTGAATCTTTAAATCTTATTTTGACGTAGGCAGATGAATTATTACAATATTAAATAGATGTATAATTTTTTTAGCAAAAACGAAGAAAAAATTTCACCTGTATACATATTAAAAAATTCATAGTTGTCTGTTAAATAATTAAACATTATTTACACTAAAAAAAAGATGTCAGGCCGTATTTTTCCAGCCAGCTCGGACCCTTTTTTTAATAATGTTTAAATATTTATTTTATAATTTATTTGTTCGTATTTCATGA